AGGAATTTTGAGCTGGGATTCGTTCAACTTCAACTGGTGTTGTGATCAATAATGAAATGGATGAATTCTCTATACCGACTGATATATCCCCTTCAATCCCCTTCCATTGCATCTGGAATCCAGACAAGTTTGTAACTGAGGGTAACACTGGTTTTTGATACAGAAAGGTGAAACCCTAAAAAGAAGAGAGTAACACTGATAAATGATGAGCAGTATTCTTGAAGAAATTGAAATTTGAGATGTTTGGCAATCTTTCAGAAATTCTTGGTTTGTATGTTTCAAATTATAGGTAAAAAGAAATTAGAAATTTGAGTAAATTAAATTCTGGGATGTTTGGTTTCTATGTTTCAATTTCTGGGTAAATTTCTTTGTTGTATGTTACTATGTTTCATGTTCTTTGTAAACTAAATGAGATTAAGTGGCCTAGTGGTGTAGTGGACGCATTAGAAACCAATATGCCCTGCAAACTTGGACAGCAAGTAGAGCAACAAGATAAAATCCACCCTGTCATCAATGCTTGACAAAATCCTGGCCTAAGTTCAAACTGTGACAGCAACCTCATCCACAAGTTGAAACAAAGAAACTCTTTTCAGCCTACTTCAAACATGCCAATCATACTCAGCAAATCTGAGGCCTGTCAAAGACCTCCTTCATGTACCAAAGCCAACGGGTTTTGGTAGTGATACACATTATGAGGATCTAAACAGCACTGCACCAATTTGGTCCTGAGTTTACACAACCAAGCAGCAACATCCTCCTCCAAAACTCAAACAAACAAAGAACCTGGCTAAGTCCTATCACCCTAACTCACCTAGCCTGCCCAAACACTTGTGGATAATGCTTAGCAAACTTGTGGCACTCAACAGGCCTCCCACAGGCTGACTGTAATAACCAAAACATCAATCTTATGACAACAAGCTTGGTCATCAACCTCTGTTCCAAACAAATCCTTAGATGAGAACCACAACAATAACCCAACCTCTTAACACAACAACCAGGTATGAGTTAACAAACTCAGCCCTTAAGAATAGAATATTGATAGCATGATCACCACCTGAACATGTCAAAGTCCAACCTAAACCAACCAACTAAAACTCATAGCCTAAAGTCATAAACTCAAGGACATTAAACCATCACTAAGCAGTACCAAGAATCTGTCATACAATGCCAAGAGTCTAGCTTATATGAACTTTGAAAGGGGCAATGGAAATTCTGGTAAGATTTCTAAAATGATAAACCTCTAGATCCATATAGACAGCCAGCACATGAAATTCTAACATACAAGGCACCAACAGCCTAGCAGTAGTAGAAAGGAAGACAGTCATCAAAATCACATCCTATGCAAGCTAGCCAGATCCAGTATCACCATCATATGTCAACAAAGTCTAAAACAGGTTCATGACAGTCCTTACCTGGTACCTCAATTCTGTTCCAAAACCAACAGCAATCCAATGCCCTACTCTTGTGATAGCAACTGCTGAGGACTAGCAACCAATCACAACTTAACTCTAAAAACCATGGCAGCAAGTGGCATGATAATGTTAAATCCTAAATGAACCATGTATTGCATCATCACACATCCACATTCCCAAAAGCAACAAATCCCAAACACATACCCTAATGAAAGTCTAGCAGCAACTGTAATGAATTGAACAAGCTTGACAATGTTGATCACCATATGCTTCAGCAACATCCAAATGAATCATCTCACAAGAGGTTATAACAAAAATACATTGTGACTTGACTGACAGCTAAACAGCAATGCTTATAATTCAAAGGAGTTGGCACATTAAAACTTGGAAATGGCTTGACAGAACCAAAACATCTTTAAAAACAAATGGACCAACAATGCACTGTATATTCCAAACTGTACTTGCACATTCTAACTAGAACATGTAGTACATTAGCAGATCCTGACCTAAGCTAAAGTTTCCAATAACAGTCAACAATTCCCATGCTGAACCAACACATACCAGTTAAATAACAAAAGATATGGTCTGTCCCCAACAAACTTCAGAATAGTCCAAATCATCACAGATACAAACATGACTATGTTGATCATCAAAGATATGGTCTGTCCCCATCAAATGGTTACTTCAAAGCCAATTTTCAACCTTCTTAAACAAAACAGAAATGACAGTTATGCACACAAATAAAACAGTTTGATCATTTCATGCTTTTGACAACATTGAGCAGAAGCAAAACATTGATACACAACTTACTACCAACCTCTTCATCTAAATGAATTGCTCTTAAATGAAATGCTACCAACTCATGCCATCAAGCACACATAACTTCCAGTAGGAGATTCAAACCTAGCATAACAGGGCACCAACATCCTAATAGCAATGCTTTCACAAAGGCAACAAAATACATCTATAGACTTTTCAAACCAACACTCACTTGATCCAAACAGCAGCCTAACAAGCTTGTTTATACCTGACATGCTTAGCAACCATAACTTAGTTTCAAACAGCAGTAAACCCTGTTATGCAGGGGCTTTGCTCATGAGTTAAGGCCTATAACAGAATTTTAACACAAAGCCAGTCCAAAAAAATTAAAATGTTCCAATACTTTTTGAGAATGAAATTGTAATATTGTGAATGGCTAATATGGTAAAAATATAAGGAATGTAGAGGTGCCAAGTAAAATTTGGGGTTGGCAAAGAAGAAACCTCCAAGTGTTTAAAGATTTTTTTTTTCTATTTTAAACAAGACTGGTTTTATAAGGATTATGTCTAGTATAAAAACTTAATATGATTTTAATACATATTCTAACCACCCACCACCAAATTATCAATGTATCAAGTATTGAGTTTGGGTTGGGCGTGACGGATTATATTTGGTAAAAGTCAAGTTTTACATTGAGGATGGGGGTAAAGCAATGATTTAAAAAGATATTCACATCTTACCTTAAAAACTGACGTTGTCGGATTGGATTAGGTTTAATGACTTCAAAATATCAAGGCTTAGTTTTACCTAATCATGGAATACATAAAAATCAGTCATCCAAATAGTACTTAGTGGAGCAATATTTTACTCACCATGCACTTGCAGACTATCATTTAACAAACTCTAAGATCCCTTATTAGCAGTCTCATAGGTCCTCCAAGAAATCTCAAGCACAAAATTTGGATTAATTGACCAAGATATACTACAATGTATTATAGAAATATATTTTACAAAAATTTTAACATAAGGAGTCATCCAATATGCATACTTATCAAAACAGCTCCATTCATTTTTTATGAACTGGAAATAACAATAATTATTGTATCAGATAAATAGTTCACATTGGCATCAGCTTTAAGAAATAAAAATAAAACGGTTGAACAATTTAATCCAAACTCAGCACAAACCACAAGAACAATGAAGAATAAGACAACATAGCCTTAACATAACATTACCATTCCAAATCCCGAACTGACCTAAATTTACCATTTAACTTGGAAAATAAACTTTACTTAAACTACCTTAAGAATATAACCGCTAGATTTGGCTAAGTTTTCAACTGACAAAACTCCAAATCAACCAGATCTTCACATGTTAGTTCGGTTTTGTATGTTTCTCTAACTGGGCCCGAATCAAAGTAACCCAATGATATACTGGTTTGTTCTTGTGATGAGTTTGCAGATCAAAATACTTCATAAAATAATAGATATATAAATAGGCAATAGACACACTTCTCAAATACAAACCAGAATTATTAATCAGGCAGTAGCAATCCCAAATACAAACCAGAATGTTTAATGCAATTCAAAATAAGCAGTAGCAATCCAAACTACAAACCAATTATCAATAAACTTAACAACTCATCGAAGAGAAGCAGAAGAATCAAAGAGAAGCAGAACAAGTCTCAGAGAAGCAGAACGAGATTGCTGCCGTTGGAATCACACTGCGACACACAAAACTGAACACGATAACGATTGCGTGGGAGGCTGACTGTGTGAAATGAGATTAATGGAAAAAAAAGTGATCTGATGAAATGTATAGACCTGGGCTAACTTGGGCGTTGATTTTAAAATAAAAAGTGTAGTAGTAGCACTATGCTCCGGTGATCAATTTTAAGAACTGAAGTGTCTCACATGAACCATTCATGTTTGGTTCTCCGTTCGGCTCAGGTTAAAACCCAAACCAGTGAAGAATGGTAATTTTGGGGTTCTTTATATTACGCTGTCCACTTACACTCCCTGCCAATACTTCACAGCAAACATACTCTTGCCAATTAGTCTTTCCTAAATCTACACTGACTATTGAAAACTCCTAAAAAGAAACCCCCAACAAAAAGAAACCTCCCATAAAAATGTTTCTAACAACATCACTCCTCCATTCAGCATAACAGCTTCCACGTATATTGTTGATCCATGACTTAATAGATCTAAGCATTTGACATATGTCTTCTTAGGACGCGTATTCTTTGACTCTATCACATTTGACCTTGTATGGTTCAGTCAACAACTTCATTAAGTGCCACACCTCATTTCCGAATTCAAGCATGATGCACTGGCCGTGAATTTAAGGCCGTGTTATGACAATATTACAAGAATGAAGCTGCCATTGGTTCATAGCTGATTTCTACCTCGACAGAATGTTCTTAATCAGTCACAGCCCATAAGGAAAAAAATAAAGGAATATATTCAAAGTTATAAACAATACCCTTCGGTTGTTCTGTCAAATTAAAAACTTCTATTTATCTACAATGCAAAACAACACATTAAGCAATGTGATTTTTAACTCTAAGTACGAACAATTGTTATTATAAGCATCCAATAAGTAGAATTTGTATTTGGCAGGTAAGATATGTATGGGCTAAACATAAAAGTAGGTGTCTCAAATTGTAACAATCTAGTCTTCCACATTATCAATAATGCAAAATGATCTTAAGTTTTCAAAATCTAGTCTTCCTCTTATTTCTTATACATATATACTAGCACAACCAAATAATATCATGATTGCATCAAGTTCATACCAAATTGCAATGAGGGAAATGGAATGTGTTGTTCAGGTGATGTGCCGAGGAGGAAATCGACCTTTTTTGAGAAAGGAAAGAGAGTATTCAGCAGCATCAATTAGGTCAGCAATGTTATGCAAAGAGCGTTCGTCAGAACCAACCCAAAACATTGCACGTACCTTAGCTTTCATGGCTAGTCTAGAGGCAAAATTCAGTGGCAACAAAGGAGAATTCAGGCTTCTCAGTGTTTGACGATATAGCGACAGAACTCGACCCCTGTTCCGATTCAAATCCTCTGCCGTCGCCCATATCAAACCCTTTCCCATTCTGCAACACAACAAAATAGTTGAATAGAAATTAAAAACAATGCATCAGATTGAAATTAGATATATTGAACTTCAAACCTGCTTATCATAAAAACCCACTGTGCGACGATGATGCTAAGCTTTTCAACTAGCTTTAATGGCAGATTAACGATTACGCGAAAGAAAAAAAGAAGAATGAAGAAGGGAGAGACAAATCTGGACAAGCGTGATGCAAAGGGCGTGGAAGTGACCGGGTGGGAGTGACGGTGTGCGGCGGGGCGGACAGGGAGTGGCGGCGGCCGAACTGATGAAGGAGAAGTAGAGATTCTCTTGTTTTGAGAGAAAAAAGCAAACTGAAAAAAAAGAACAAAAACAAAACACTTAATTGATATTTTTTTAGGATCATCCTATTTTTTTTTTGTTCGAACAGGCTCATATGTTTCAATGGTTCAACCCATTCAATTTTAAAAATTTTCAAATAAATAAGGTAATGCCTAAAGTCATGAAACCTTTCCCCTCAAATTGATTATTGATTATTAGATTACAAAAATCTACAAAATTGATGAGTATGTGGGGGATAGCATGACATTGTTGAGAGTATGACACTCTAAGGAGGGAACTAGTTTATCTGTAATGTAGAAGAGATTCAAGCCATAGTAGTTTTGAAGTAGTATTAGCAAAACTTTGATATTCAATCTTAGTGTTTGATATTGTCACAAATGGTTGTTTTTTTAGCTCTAAGACGGAACAAAATTACTATTCAAAGAGAATCTTATTCTATCTAGGGGAGATATTCATTTATTCAGTATTGGACCATCCATATCAAACATATATATTCTAATAAGTTTATCAGTAATTTTGTTTGGCTATAATTTTGTTTTATCTGATTTTAATATGGGTATTTTTTTTACGGATTGCTATTTCGAGTATTGCTTCCATTGAACTTCTTATGTCAGGATATGGCTCGAATAATAAATATTCCTTTTTAGGTAGTCAACCAGTTGTTGCTCAATCGATTATTTATGAAATACCATTAATTCTATGTGATTATGAGCAAAGTAGATATATGAACTTGATGTTGATCTTTTGAGATCAAGATCACTTGCTTAATTTGAATCACTATAAGGCTTTAGAGAAATTTTTTGAAGTGGATCCGCATGAGAAAGAAGAAAACCATGAGTTGAAGTCCACTTTTGTTTCTTAGAATTATTTTAACTTCACTCCAATTATTTTTAGGTGGATTAGCTATGAATTGACATGCTTTATTAACACATTAAGAGATATTAGGACAAGTTAATGTTACATATTGTAAAGCTCCAACAATTGATCTATACGAGGAAATATCTCGCATTATGTCTGTTCCATATTTACTTAGTTTGTAGTAGCTGAAAATAGGAGTGTTCACTCCATTTGCATTGAGTATGACTTTGCTCTATTTAGGTTTTCATCTTACCGAACGATCAGAATCTGAGATGGGGCAAAGACGAACATCTGCGATGTTGGGTGTGAAAGAGGAGGATGGAGTGTACCTGCAAGGCACTCTGATACTAAAGTAAGAAAACGAGCAAGAGAACGAGCAAATACATAATATGTGTGTTTCAAGGTGAGAAATTGGATACCTGACCCTCTCAAGTGAGAGGGTTTTTATAATGCCCCTAGCGCTTGACCATTGGTCCCTATTTTCGGGACGAGATAACTGTTTCCCGAAGAATAGGTAACTTCCAAAAATAGCCGTTGGGACGGGCAGACGTGCCCATAACTAGCCTTTGTGACAGACAGGGATACAGTTACGGGCACAAGCATCTTGGTTGTTTTTGAATGGTGGAATCGTGTGTGACGGGGAGAGACTGACGGGGAGGAGTGTTGTGACCAAGGGTAAATTGATCATTTGTTGAGACTGACACGGTTCTTTAAATGAAATTATAAACTAACTACGGTTTTCATTTGTTGCTTTTTTATAACCGTTGTATATTCATGTTTTGGGGACGGTTATTTTGTGTTGTTATTAGAAAACCGCGGCCTAAAACTACAACTAAAACCGTGGTTATTGATGATTTAGGCGACAGTGTTTTGAATCCGTGGTTATAAATAAAAAAAACTGCGCTCTAAAGGAATAGGCAACAACCGTTTATTCCACGTCTGATAAACCGCCTCCTAAATCCTTAGGCTACAGTTATTGCACTTTAGGTTGCGGTTTTCAGTTGTTGCCAAAAGTCATTTTTGTTGTAGTGTTGTTTGGTTATCAATTGTGTGCATGCATGAAAAATTATCATTGTTTCTGGAAATCACAATCATTATAGAATTTAAAAGCTCATTTTTATGCTAAACGTTTTAAACGTAAAAGAACAAATAAACTTGATCATTAGATAACAAATGACACGGTTTTCCTAAGAAATATTCTTATGACTTTGAAAAATAAAAAAGACAATGTTTTGAGGGGGCCGTGTACATAAATAATAAACTTAATTACAGTTTCAATCTCCTTATATTAATTCATTCACAAAATTAATTTTCTATTTCAAATTCAAATGCTTTTAATATCCTTTCTTTTTTTTAACTAAAATTGATGATGCTTATTGAATCTATACATTTTACTGCGCTAGTTCTTACACGTGGAAACTTGTCATAATTATATTTTAACCATAGTTCCTATCATTAGAAACATTATATATATAATTAATAATCAATATATATATATATATATATATATATATATATATATATATATATATATATATATATATATATATATATATATATATATATATATATATGTCAAATCGCATGGATAAATTAAATTAAATCAAATAATTTAGTTGAATAAATCAAACTATATAACAAAATTATATAGTTATTAGAATTTTTTTATTTTAAAAATAACCTATATTTAAAAAAAAAACTATAATATTAAAAAAAAATCAAAATGGTATACTTTCAACAAGCATGCGTCATATGGTATGTCTTTAGCATTCAAAATCATCTTGTTCCGGTATGGGCCTCACCCCGGCAGGCCCAATACCACATGCGGCCCAACAAGCGAGCCGGACACGCCTGGCACACACCCCTTCGGAACGAGCAGGAGCTGGCCGCCGAGCACAAGCTACATCTCCACATCCTCTTTTGACGTCCACCACGTCGGACGAGCAGGACCACCCGGGCTCCCCTCCGCGGGGAGAATAACGTGCTCGGCGCACGTTCTCCACGTGCTCCCCTCCGCGGGGACACGTCACCGGCCAACTGTCCACCTCCGAAAGAGCAGGTCAAACCCACTTTCCGGAGATCTAGGAGCGGTTGAACTAGGGCGAAGACCACGTCCTGGTCTTCACTACGCCACGTAAGCCCTAGCAGTCATTAGGGTTGGGCCTGGTCATCCAGCCCACCTCAAATGACCGTTGGCCCAGCGCTGGGGTCTCTCTATAAATACCCTCTTCCTCAAGAGGGTCAGGTAACTCTTCTTGCCCCCTTTTCTGTACTATTGCTTCCTCTCTGTCCAACTTCTTACTTGGGCATCGGAGTGCTTTGCAGGTACACCCCCCTCCTTTTCCTCACCCCGGCGAATAGGTAGCAGCCCAACGGAGTGTGGCCAGTCCGTGATCCCCTCCTGATCAGGTCAGATCAGTGGCGCCGTCTGTGGGAAGTTGAAACTTCCCCGTTACTCCGAGCAGAAAACCAAAAGTTTCACCAAACCTCCACGGTCATGGCCAGCCCACGCCGCGATGACACTCCGCACGATCTTGCGCTCAACACCGCCACCAACGGGAAGCAGACAGGAACGGCACGTCTGACGGAAGCCGACGAAAGGGACGGGCGAACTGCTTCACCATCATCCGAGGAACGGCCCCTACAGGCCGACCACCGCCCCCCGAGCCCGCCAGCATTCCACCCCGTTCCCATCCCGGCGGGAGCAGACCCGACGGTGGCCGCTCTCTTTACAGCCATCAACCAGACGAACCAGCTGCTGTTCCAACAAAATGCTAGAATTGGAGCATTGGAACGCGTCGGCCCCCCGAGGTACCCCCAGCGGGAAGACCAGAACGGAGGTTCGAGGAGCCCCTCACCTCGACTCAGGAACCGCCGGCCACGGCTGGAGAGACACCGCCCGCAGGCGACGCGGGAGCGCACCAGATCCCCGGCGAGACACGGTCGCGGGAGGAACCAGAACGCCGCGGCGATCCCGACCGAGGAACCCCGAGGCGGGAACTCAGGCCGAAGATCGAGGACCCGAAACCCGGGACACACCGTGAACGGCTCATCTCCCCTAAGATCCCCGGCGCACAACGACGAGGATGACTACCGCACCCCGCTATCCCGGGAGATCATGGCAGCCCCCATACCCCAGGGAATGGAGAAACCACCGACGCTGTCAACGTACGACGGCACCTCCGACCCGGACGATCATCTGGAAGATATCGAGGCTATGCTCGACTACCGAAACGTCCGGGGAGCTATCAAATGCAGACTCTTCCCGACGACTCTGAGGAAAGGCGCTATGACCTGGTACAAAAGTCTGGAGCCCGAATCAGTTACGTCGTGGAGGGTCTTGAAGGACCTGTTCTCCAAACACTTCACGGCGTCCCAACGTCACCCGAAGACAGAAGCAGTCCTCGGGGCAATCATCCAAGGCCCCGACGAACCTCTCCGGAAATACATCGAAAGGTTTACTCGGGAAGCCGTGCAGGTGACAACTTCCGACGAAATGAAACGCTACTTAATGGAACAAGGCCTGCGCCACGACTCCAAATTCTACGAGGCCGTAGGCATACACCGGCCCACGTCCCTCCAAGATTTCCTCGACAGAGCCGCGCATTACATCCGGTTCGAGGAAACACAAGCGGCCAACTCCGCCCGCGACACTCGAGACAGAGAGGCCCCCCGCGGGCACCGAGACGACGGAGCTTCGAGCCATCGACGAGGAGGGGACCGCTGTCGGGAAGACCGCCCCCGCGAGCCCCGCGAACAACGCGAACCACGCGGCCCGGCAGGAAGATTCACAGAGTACACGGCCTTGGTCGCTTCACGCG